TTCTTGGATTCTCGTTTTCTTCAGATTTTATCTTACGAATCAACTTTCTTGCGAGCGAAGAAACGCAAATTTAAAGCGATTCGTTATACTTAAGAAGTTCATATATTTTAGACAACATTGTAAATAAATCCTTGATTTTCATAGGAACTTTTTTCAAGCTTTATGAGGCAGAAGAACATTTATGAAAAAAGTGTTGTACTGCCGTAGTTATACTTGAAGGAAATGTTGAAAAGAGCTGATTACCTAAATCTATATGTGTATATAGGAGACGCACATGTCTTGGAATGTTTCAGTTAATTCTCAGTTCCGTTTGAGTTAATTTTCTTGCCAAGCAGGGGTGAAAGTTGTTGTTGTTGCAGTTGAAGAGAATTGATGACAGAAGCTTATTATTCTGTCCTTCACACTGACTTTCAGAGAATAAAGGAAGCTACGTTCAGTTCAAAAATGTTCTGTGAAGGCAAATGCAGATCAAAGAATGATCACGGAAACCCCGGAAAAATACAATAGAAAATATACCCTTTTTATTTACATCAGTGTGCCACAAAATGTCCAATTTTGATGAGCTGTCATTCTATTTTTTATCAAACAAAAGTCAATTTTTTTGGTAGCATCGACATACACGAGCATCAAGGTGCAGACGGTAATAAAATATACGAAATAATAACAGAAGTTTAGCTAATACGGCATAAGAGTCCTGTTCCCTCAAGTCAGCTTGATTTGAATTACACTTTTTTTTTTAAATTTACACGAACACAGGCGTTGAAACAAAAAGCCTGACCTCTGATCGGAGTTGACAATGCGGCCGTCTAACATGTGTCTGGTGTAATACTCGTCTTGCATGGTCTGGTATAACGTGAGTCCAAGAATGGTCGCAGATTTGACTGGTGATGCAATCCCGAGGAACAACCAGTCATCCAACTGGTTTTGCGACACTTTCCTGTCACCTAAGTACGAGGAAATTGAGCAAAAATTCTGGGCCTTCCTTCGTGGCGAGCAAAGTTCAATACCCAACATAAATCAAATACTGTACAGTCGAACTTTTCTAAGTCGAATTTCAAGGGACCAGGAAAAAAAATTTTGACTTAGGGAGGTTGTGATTTAAGAAGATTTCAAGTCGAGGAAACAAGCATTTGTGTTATGAGGAAATGTGGAAGAATTGCAGAAAATTGTAAATGGTGATAATATGGGCCTTAAATTGTTTTTATATCGAGTTCACATTACGTTGAAGTTGGAGGCAGGGGTTCATTAGCCCAATTTTTCTTTCACTTCCTTTCAAGACACATTAGGTTACTTTTTTTTTATTGCTTTCCCCTTTCCTGCGTCAAAAAATAGTAGCGAAAAAGCCTCAGAAATTGTGACTTACAAAGGTTTTTAGAGGAAAAGTCTTTGCGTTAGGGAGGTTTTTAGTGCATCGTTTCCAGGGGAATTTAGAAGAATTCAGTTTTTAAAATGTCGATCTATTTTCGACTTATCGAAGTTCAACTATTTTCCGGAAATTCGTCAGGTTCTTTTAGAAAATTAGAAAGCTCCTGGTATTACTCAGAAAACCTCAAATGTTTGGCTTATTTTAGGAATGTGAGGTGCAATTAAAAAAATAGACTTTGATTTCTCACCGGGATAAAATATGTTGAATTGACTCGCATTTGTCAACAACGAAGTCGAGCTGCTTGGAAATTCGCACTCGCTGTTGCTCTTTTCAACTTCGATTTGTGTTGATAGCTCAGACATGTGCAACAAATGTCCAGTGATGGACATAAATATGTATCTGTGTGGCTCTGATCGTGACATAGTCCTTTCGGAGACGCGGCAGCAAAACTGTCGATGTTCCTTGGTATTTTCTGTCGAAAAATAATATCATCATGGAATGTAATATCCATTTCTGCTTGAATCTCTCGCTCCGGAAAAATAAAGCATGAAATTCTGATAAAAAGAAGAGCAGTGGGAAGTTTGCACTCGAGACGTTACGGGGAAACTGAGATAAATGTAGTGTCATAAATTAAAATTTGGTCGAACCATTTTTCACGATATGCAAGCATATTTGTTCTGGTTACTAGGATTCTGAAGAATTTATTTTTTTCAACTCAACGGGAACGCTCATTTTTTCTTTCTTGCCATAATTCTTCCCTTCAACCCATCATTACATTTTGACAGCAATCAAAACCATTTTTTTTAGCTCAGTAGTGATCACCATAGTATTTGAACAGTTCTCAATCATTTTGGCTCGGGTTCATCATGAGCCCTGATGTAATATGAGAACAAAACTCTAAAGCGCAAAATGACTAAAGGTAACTTGAAAGAAAAACATTGATAAACGCTCATTAACTAGATCAATAGGATACACGGCCTTGAATTTTTCCCCGTTAATTTTCGGTTTAGCTTCAGTTAATTTTTCTGGCTGCACTGGGGTGAATTTTTTTTTTTTGCAGTTGAAGAGGCTTTTGTTGTTGCAGTTCATTTGAAGTCAGGGAATTAATTACCGTATCCATTTCACGAAAAGTGCTTTGGGAATAATCCAAGTATGACGTCGTTCCCGAGCAAAAATAATCGGACTCGCGCGGGGTTCGACGCAAAAAAACGCCGGGTTCGATTGTGTACGCATTCGGGTCGCCGGGAAGATTCGCGTGCCTTTTATACATAGCATCACTGCGTTTTCCTCAGCTGGATCCCACGCGTGTATAAAAGACCATCCCGGGAATGCGTATATAGAAGAAACCCCATTCGGAATAAATCAGAATATATGTACGGGGGCGTATGTACGAGTTGCTGGATCCACACGCGCGCGCCGATCGTCATACCCTAAATACACGGCTTTTCTTTCATTCCCGATTGAGAGCCCAATTTTTGCACCCAGAAGAAAGAAAATCAGGGAATTGGTTGAAAGCCTGTGATTAATGTGAGAAAAGGGATTTGATTCGTGGTACGTCAATGCGGGGGCCATTCAATGATATGTAAGCTAGCTCGAGGACATTATCTCCTCCTTTTCTGGCAGCGGGAGAAAACAAAAATACGATCAGGAATTTCTCACCCATTATCACAACTTTTAGACTAGATATACTAACCATTGTCTCTAGAATTTCCAACCAGTCAACAGGCGAGATAACAGCATCGCGTTATTGCTGAGCACGTCTCGTGGTCTAATTATAGCAGTGGTTTCATTGTCAGGAACTGGGATGAATAATAGTTTTGTCAGAAGTTGATGAGGGATGAGGCTTCTTTTTTATTAGAAGCCTTGCGTCATTTAGCCCCGGTTCAAACTGACACGTGTAACGAAGTTGACCTTTCAAAATAATAAATTCATTTCACTTTCGCTCAAATCTATTTATGCAAGCTCAATGTTTTTTTCTGCTCATATACAGGGTAAATAAAAAAGTAGAAACATTCGATAAGTGTCACGTAGTTGAAATTTCGCCTGTAACCTTCGATTTTCATAAAATGTGTTGATTTTCAAAATATTTAAGCTTGTCCCGGTTACGCGTAGCTTTCAATAACTCGCCATTGGTCAACCATCGAACAGTTTTTCTTGCTGTTACTTCAGGACTATGAAATGTTTCTTTTCCTTCATTATACAGTATATTAGAAAAATAAATGTAATATGGCTAATTTGACGATTTTTTAAAGTGATTGTTTAAAAAGCTCCGCACGTAATTTTTTCCTGATCAACTCCGAAATTTTCGAGATGATTTTTCTTTTTGGGAGAGCTCCAAGCATTTTTTTATTTTTTTGGAAAATGTGCTCAGTTCTTGATTGCCCCAGAATCCGTGAAGTTGATCGGACATATCTTAAGAATGGGGTCCGCAGAAAAATTCGAGGAAATGCATTAGCTTTTCGCTGCATGCATGCGAACTCTGACATGAATTTGCAGGAATATTATTCTTGAATGCCAAGCTCAAATCATTCAAACGTCACAACATTTCAGAGCAAAATACGTAACTCTATACAGGAAATCTTGTCTCAAGGACCGAGTTCCGCACTTTCTATTCAGAATTATTTATGGCAGACGAACGCGAAACTTTTTACGCCGAGTCAGTCGTCGTAATTTTCGTAAAGCTATAAAAAAATGAAAATAAAAGTGCAGAAGGAACGCTTCAGAGCGGCGCAGTTGGGGTTTTTGCTGTCGTTGCCTCTGGGTAAATTACGACCCCGTATAATTTCCTTTTTTTTTTTTGCCTGATTAAACGATCCTATGATTGTTACTATATAACTGCCATTTTCCCTTTTTTTTTGTTTCCGCACTTCGTAATACACGTTTACGGAGTTGATTATCCTCGTATTTTGCGGGGCGAGGGACGAAGTGGGCCACGTGCGCCGCATGCTGCGGGAACTGCGCCGCGAAAACGCATCTCTTGCCGCGTATAACTAACTGATGGTGCGTATATTGTCGGATGGTATATAGCATTGTACTCAGCAGGATGTGGATAGCTTTGTGGCTTCACCGCGAAATTTTTGCAACATGCAGATTGTTCCCAATTTGCATGCCCTTGAGAAGGGGTCCTAGCCTTCCCTACTGCTGCACACTATTTCGAGCCGAGAGGATGTGAAAAGGTTCAGAAAATCGGAATGCGTGCATAAATCATACATGGATTCAATAGGGTTGTCTCTTTTTATTTCTACAAATTTAAAATGACTGCGAGTCGGATGTACAATGCTTCACAATATAATCATACATCGGTTTTTCATAAAAGTGCAAACACACAAGACGTACATGTACAAGACAAACATAAATGCTCCAAGTCCAGTGGACTGAGAAACACAGACTGAAGTTTGAACTGGGAAAGTTTAACAGGTTAGCTAAGCCTTTACTTTACTGCTCAAAATCTAGAATGGTTTTGATTGCAAAATGGGAAGTATCCCATTTGAATAGGGAAAGTGAATCTCAGGAAAAGGACACGCCTTGACGTGTTCCAAATTCCTGATCCAAAGTTGCCCTGGAAATTACTGGGACATGAATGTGGGAAACCAGAGTGTGAGATACCAGAGATGCAATGAGATATCATCGCATCTAACCTATTTGCAACTATACAGCAAAGCGAGGTGTTACACTAGATTCATTAATCTAGTAAATGATAGTCTTTAAATTAGAACATTAACCACTCCCATCTGATGACACATGCAGAAAGAGTGGAATTGGAATCTGGTGGAAAAGTGAAATTAAGAGGAAAAGTATTTCCTCCCTTTTCCAGGATAACAATAGGTGGATATCATTTACAGGGTTATGACACCTGATGCTCGGTATTCGGACAAAAGGTTGGAATTTCTTGTTTTGGAATTTAAAAAAAAATGACGCGTTAAATTTTTTTCGAGTGACATGCGAACAGTTGGAACATGCATTAACGGGCCAAAGAAAAATTCCCAGTCTATTTCCAATAAACCAAGAAGATCGTGAAAAGGTTAATGAAATCGGAGTACTGCGCGTATAAAATAGACAAGAATTCANGCTGCACCGATTGAGGGATTACCGCACTCTGGCTAATTAATTCCATTCAATACCGATCCCGTGTCGCCGAATGAAACGCTTTTGCCACGATTGCATAAATCCGCGATATAGAATAAGAAGAATGTGGTGACGTATTTGTAGTTGAAGCTCGATAACTCGAGCATCATCCGGAAATCGATTTTTTTTTTTTGCGTTCCCAAATTAATTCCCTGAGAAACAACGTAATAAAAACCTCTCCAACTCAAATGCTTCCCTTTCGCCCTCAAACCTTTGTAACTTGAATTTTGTGAGGTCTTTTTGGCTATTATTTTCGTGACGCAGGAAAGAGAAAAGCAATGAAAAAAACTGGATGTGTTTTGAAAAGAAGTGGAAGACGAATTGGGCAAATGAACGCTTGTCTGCTCCAAGTTCAGCATCCTGTAAACTCATTTAAAAAGCAAATTAGAACCCAGGATATCATTATTAACAATTTCCCAAGATTCTTCATATATGTTTCCCGCAGCAATAAAGAATTCTTGTTTCCCTGACTCAAAACCTCCCAATATTAAGTCAAATTTTTTCACTGGTCTCTTGGAATTCGACTTTGAGAGGCTTTATTGTACTGTATTTTATTTCATTTCTATAACCTGCATTTGAAGTGAATGGTCGATTTCGGGTTAAATAGAAACAGTTGAACTGTATTGCTAATTGATGATAAACGTCGATTCTGTTCCATCAGTGCTGCAGTTCTTATGGATCTTCTCAAACCGATATGGCTTGATTTATTCCGAACCCAAGAACGAATCTTGCCGCTTTTATGAATTAGGGAAGCATTTATTAATTTCCGAGCCCAAAGGTATATCCTTGTTGCATTCCTGCAATCATCATTAATAAAGTAGTACAATGGTACCTCGGATTATGTGCCCTTTCACGTAATTACACTATAGATTTCTCTTTGGATAATAGATCCTGCTTTGGAAGAATATCTGTATGAAAAGTTATCATCTTTTATGAAAATTGAGTTTGCTCTTGGTGATTTTGCTCTCAGTATCATAGGATGGATTTTTCGTAATCTCTTTTTTTTTATTGGACTGTATTTTCGTGTATTTTGAAGTGTATTTCCTGTTTTTTCTGCTATTCAATCTACAATGTTAAAATTTAGTAATTTTTCAGTTTCGAAAAAATTTCTAAGGATGACACCTGGAATCAATGAAACCAATTACAGTATAGTCCTTTTTGGTACTTCTTGAGGGTCTGAGACAAATAAGTCTTGTATTACACTTCTACAGGTTTAAAACATTCATTTTATTTACTTTTCGGATAATAGACTTTAATCGATCATTTTCATTTACCAGAGCACACCATTCTGCCTGATATTCAACTTTATACTGACGAGGAACAAGTTTTCCAGGTATTCTCAAGATTTAATTCCGTGAAAATCCGCTTTTGGGTTTGGTAAAACCCCCATATTTTTTCGTTCGCTTGCCATCAGCTCCTCCCACTCAAATTCAATTTCACGATAATTCTTGTACGGTACAGTATAACGATTCAAGTCGATCTGGTGGAAATCGGAAGAAAATTAAATATACAGGGCGCTTCTTTTTTCCTCTGATCGAACAAAAATTGGAACACGCAATAGAATATACAATTGATCGAACCCGGATAATGCAGCTTCTTCTGCAGCGTAACTTTAACAGAAAAGTCGCGAGATTTCATCTGATATCGAAGACAGAACAATCGAATGTCAGCAGCCGCAAGTACGTCGGTGTCGATCGAGTAAATCAAGGAATACAAAGCAAACTGAGTATTAGTATTTCTTTTTTTCAAGTACGAACGCTCAGTACGGACGTACTGCCTTGAACGTATCAACGAAATCAGTTCTTCGACAAAGATGCGTTTATTGTCCTCAGTTTCAAAAAAACATCGACTCGGAAGACATAAAAATTCCGCATGAGCATTTCTATGCGATGGGTGTGGCAAATAGCACGATCGACTACTCGAAATTTCCTGCTATCCTAAAATGTGATTTGATTCCTTGGCAAAATACAGTATACAGTACACCATAGTATATATAAAACAATGGGAATTCCATTATATCAAAGTACGTATCAAAAAATAGTCACTAAGTTATGCTTTACGTATAGGATGATTAATCTATTCCAAACTCCTAAGAAGCTTCTTAGAAGAGTAATCAGCAAAGGGTCGATGGATCATTCATTCTAAATTTCTGCGGAAATTTTTTTAATGACGCGATACTTATATTTTAAAATGAAATATCTGCATCTTAAAATGAGCGGAAATACACACAGGGAGGTTGAAAACAAAGCTCAACACAATCGAGAATTATGAAAATGCATTTATGTACGTGCAAAATTTTGCTAACAGTCAAATTGACGCAGCGCGAGTCCGTTGTGCGAACAGGCGAGGGGTTCATAATCCCACCTCCAAAAGAAGCAATAGACTGAAGTGAAGTTTTCTAATCCTAAGAATATGGAAAAACAAAGATAACGTAAATGCAGACCTCAAACAAATCAAAACTGAGGTTTGTCATTTTCAAACAAGCGTGATAAGAAATTGGATAAACCAATGTTGAAGGAAGTGATCACCATCGAAATTTTTCGAACATCATTAAATTGATTCCACAATATGTGCAGTTCTGTTAATTTCCGAAATTTATTTCCACAGCAAAACTATTGTCACCTATTATATTAAAAGAAGCAAGACCCGCTTCGTTAGATACATTTTTTGAAAGTACTGAGATGAGAATTCGCTAATAATCTTGAACCAACGTCAAAATTTTGCTTGGCATGCATTTTTTCAAGAAGATTGCAGGACTTCGTACTGATGACTCGCGATGACTTGGGCTTTCGAATAATATTGAATAATTTGTTAACCTGCTCAATTCTTTGATTCAATAATTTCATGGTGAATTTCACTTTCAAAAATGTGTCTTCGGGGTGAAAAGCTAATGAACGTACCTGCTGAGACCCAAAGTGTTTCCAGAAGAGGAAGACGCTGGCTGGAAACTGTACAAGTCATCATACGCTTGCGAATTTTCAAGACACTCGGACTTGATAGTCTCTTCCTTCACCGACGCGGATTTCGGCGACAAACTCGACATCGTCGACGTCGTCGGGAATTCCTGGGTGCAGAACCGATTGTTGCTCAGCATCAACTTGGGATCCTGTTGTCGAATTTCGTGATGGGAGTCTGAGACTCCGTCTTCCATTTCTTCAGCAGACCGCTTTCTGGCTCTGGAACCAGAGCTTGAAGACAACGACGACAGTGACGATAGAGGAGATGAGAATGCCGACGATGATGTCGACGATGATGGCGACGAGGAAACGCCGTTGATTTGATGGCGTACCAGTGTAGAGTTCGGCGGGGAACCGATTAGCAGTAAGGTTTTCGCTGAAGAATCGCAGTTTGTTGTCGAATCACTTATTGGCAACATCTTCCCTTATCGAACCCAAGAATTTTTTTAATTTTTCAACCACTGACTTGATGTCAAAATTTTCTCCACGGCCGAATCGCGACACAGAGTAGATGAATATTCTTTGACCATTTTTCGACGACCACGGGGTCGTCGAAATTCAGTAGAAAATTCTGGAGAACCTGCGAAGAAAAGAAAATTGCATTCTTGTGTGTCTCATTTCCTGCCCTGACAGGAAAATTGAGCGCGTCGCAAAAAACAGCGTGTGTCCAGTAGTGTTTAGGCGAAAGTTTGATATAAAAAAAAAGACTGAAACCCAGTTTTTCGCATCGTACAAAACGTTTTGGTCAAGTTTTCAATTGATACACTGCGAAAAGTAAATAGCGTGAAGCTGAAATATCGAGGCTTAGCAAGTATTAGAAGAAATATATCGTAACTCACTGAANGTGCTCCCGATGCAGCTACTTCTGAACTCATAAAATGAGCCTTATGTATACGGCAAAGTAAGCAAAGATAAAAATCCGAAAGAAATTTGCATTTGATGCGAAAATATTTATACTGTATATTGTACATTCGACTTAATTTTCCACATGAAACCTGAAGAGGCGGGTTGGCGGTCTTTGAAATATGAAGTACAATAGCAGACGAAACGCGTGAGAGCTATTGCTTATTTATGGAAAACGTGATGGAGGTCGGATTCAAATCTATGTCAGTGGAAAAAAATGTCCTGATGATGATTGATCACATGTGATTCGAACAGAATTTAAAGATTTTTTTCAAGTCAACAATCAGGCTGTACATCAGACAATGCAACGGAAAGGGATCTTCTGACAAAAATGCATGATCACGTCGATGTCTTCAGTCCGAATTTGTGAAAACTAGTGACAAGCACTTTCAGATACAAATAATTCAAATTATATAATTTTTTTTTAATACCAAGTATTCTTGAAAACATTTGCGGTCGCTGGGCGCAAAAATCGAGTGAACTTTTAAATGAAGTAGAATAATGGCAAATCAGACCATTTGAATAAAAAAGTGGATCCGTGTTTTTGGGGTTTTAAATGATCATTACTTGAAAAGCTTTCGTATACATTTAAAAAGAATATGTACATAAACGTATACATGGGGTTCATCACGGAGAAATACTTGCGAAATATTATGAGAGGCAGACACACTTCTGCCACGAAACTTCGCAATGTACATTTTTTAGTGTTTTACATGAATTTCCTCTCAACGAATAAACCCTTGGCATGTTCTCGGAAGTGGGATGATCAAATAAATGCTTTTTCTTGCATTTATCCTCTAATCTTTGAAAAATCGGAGAAGTGAGTACTGTACTTCCACGGCGTCGGTGAAACTTGATCCAATGACAACCAACAGAATTATCCCGGAACTGTGCGGTTCACTTGACATTAAATTGCATTTTGAAATTGATTGTACACTTGAAGTAAACGTTTAAAAAAATTTGAAACCTCAGTGCATCGGAAATGGATCAGCAAATAGTGGTCCCCTGG